ATTTGGTAGAGTGTTAGACCAGGCATTCTTAGAGACCACTTTAAAGGCTTTTGTTATGTTTATTTGGCATTTCCACCTATTCAGAAAGTAAGGCAGCTCCAGTTCTTGGCTGTTTATCAGATTTCCTGATCTCCTGCTGCACATGAACCTAGAGTTTTCTAACACATTATTTAGAATTAGGTAATGGAGGCATAGGTTCCCATCCCCTTGCCCAGGCAGGAGAAAGCCCAGGCTGCACCTGGTGGTACCAGCGTGGGCAGTTCCCAGACAGGCTGCTGGGGAAGGTGGATGGTGCTTTGTTTCACCAGCATTGCTAAATTTAGCCCAAATGTTAGCCTTCCAGGAGCCTTGCTAGTGGTGCCTGCCCTGTCTGCCCCTTCACCTTTGCACTGGGGGAAAACCTGCAGCACCAGGTTTTTCTAAGATGTCAGTTAAGGTACTGAATTAGAGCTGGCTTGGGGGTGATGTTCCTCCTCTTTTCATCCATCCCTGGCTCGGTTTGGATCTCTGCATTTGTGCTGTGACAGGGGAGCAGCAGTGCAGTACCCTTTGGAAGAGGACAGTCATAGAATCACAGAGTCCTGTAAAAATGATTAAATCTGGGTTTAATTTGGTTCAGCCAAGGTCGTTAGGAGGTGCTGTGTTTTGGAAAGGTGCCCCTGCGTGCTGCAGCCCCTGATGCTGTGCATCCTGGCTCATCCTGCTCTTCCCAACATCCATTGTACGTGCCCTGAAACAGAGCAGTAAGCTGTGGAAAACTCAGTGCTGGCCAAGATTAGAAAACCCATGTCCTCTGCATCGTTTGCAGTGTTAATTCTGGTAAATTATAGTGCTGCAGTTTGTAATTTATCTGGGAGATGGATTCAATTAAATTGAAAAAGAGCTAATTTAGAAGTGAAGGTATTTTACTTTCTGTGCAAGCTAAGGGGGCCTGTGGAGCTCCCTGCCTACCAGACACATTTAAAGCTTAAAGCATGCTGTGCTCCAGAAAGCAATAAATAATTGCACAAATAACCAGAACAGCCAGAATTATAGTAGATCTTTGAAGAAAATCTCCAAAACTTTTGGAAAGGTTAAAGCCTCCGAGGCATCAGCTGGTGTGGAGGGACTGGGAAGAAAGACTTTGTGCGGGGACCAGGTGATGCCAGGTTTGCATCGGGCGTTTGTGCCTTTCTCTGAAGCGGCTGGTGGTAGCTGCTCCGGGAGACTCGTGGGGTTCATCCTGCCCGCTGCCCTACAGACAGCAGCATCGGGCTGTTCCATGATTAACTGTTTGGGGTAGTGCTGCTTAAGAAAAAGCCGTCCCATGGAGCTTGTGCAGGGGCACGGCTGTTCCTCTGTCACGGTGCTGTTTCCAAGAAGAGCAGCGGACTTGCTGATGGACTTGCTTTGCCAGTGCAGGTAGGGCTGAATTTGGTGTGGCACGGTCTAATTCTCACTGTTTCTCTCTGTAACTACAAGGTTAAACTTGTCTGTGTGCTGCTAGCGCTCCTCCTGAGCAGGGGAAGCCGTCAGGCTGTGCCTTGGGAAGGTGGATGGGCTCACTGATGGGAAAGGCAGCAGCTTAGGAGCTCCACAACAGCAGCAGTAAAGCAGTTTGCTTATTAAATTGTATCATCCCCTGTGTGCCGCCTTGTTTTTGTAGATCGGCGATGATTGCCAAGCTGCTTGCGGTTAAACAATGCAGACACTCATAATCCTGCTCCTCATCTCGCCTAATTAAGGGCCTGGTCATGCTGGAGCTTTGCCCGAATGAGGACTCTGGGGGCAGTTGTTCCTTCTGGTGCAGTGCCAGGACCGCGTGTCCGTGATAGCTTCGTTCCCTTTGAAATCAATTGAGATGTCACCATCGCTTGATCCTGGAGCTACTTAATGAACTGGCAAAATGGGCTCTATTTTTAGATCTGCCTTCAAACTACTGTGCGCATTAAAGCTCCCCTTGTCCTTAACGCCGGGGAGGGTATTGGGCAGGATTTATTGGTTTAGCTTAATAAAAGGCGTACAGAACTGAAATAATAAGCTCCGTTTCCTTGAAAGTGAGGAAAATTAAAATGGCATGGTGAAATCCGGGCAGCCGCCTCAAGACAGTAAAGCGATATGTTCATGTGTGGCCAGAAGGATAAGGTGGAGCTGGGTTTTTTTTTTTCCTCGTCTGAGTTTCAAGAGAGCCAAAGATTACAGACACATGACTTTGGGGAGTTTTTGCAAGCTTTATGGATTGGATTTCTGAGTGTTTCCAAAGTAGGGTAAAACTCTTGGTTGTTTACTGGATGAGCTCAACAACTTAAAAGAATATTTACTTCATTGCAAAAGTTAGTGTCTTCCCCTATATGTGTATAGTTAGTGTCAGAAAAGTATTCTTGCTACAATAGGAAATAAACACAGACGTAGGTAATTCAGATGTTTTTACTTCTCGTTGCAGTCTGAAGCCAGGTTGGATAAAATGTAATTTTATCAGGAAGTCGCTGAGAGTGCTGTGAGGCTTTCCCTGGCATCAGTGTTGGCGCACACGTGCCCTTCTTGGGATCATACGTGGGGTTCGGGGGCTCGCTATCTGTTTGCAGCCTCCAGCAGCAGCGAGCTGAAGGGACAGGGCACGTTGTTTTAACATGAAGCGTCAGTTGTCTCCTGTTCTTCCCCTCACCACTCTAGATGGAGATGTATGTAATTGCAGAATGCGTTTCTACTTGCTTCTGTTGCATGGTCAGCATAAATAAAGCTAAAGAGCTCCAAACCAAACCCAAACTGCATGTAGTAGAAACACAGGATGTACTGAATGGGTCAGTCTTGAGCCCAGGCTCAGTGTGGAAATTGGCCGTAGCAGGGGCGATTTTGATATCCCTCGGTACGCTGATGCGGACTGGTCCCCTATTTTCCCCATGCTCTTAGCTGGAGGAAGCAGCCCAGCTTTGAACTGGACGTTGTGTGGTCTCTTGAGGTGTAACTGCCCACGTCCATGCGCTCTGCAGAAACAAAACAGCTCTGCAGCTCCGGACCCGAGCTGGGTTGTGGTCAGCTCCGGGGAAGTGAGGTTGGGCCCATCCCTGTCTGTGAGGATGGTTGAACAGCGTGCCCAAAAAACTGGTTTCTTGGGTTAGGAGTACCCATTGTTTTCTCCATCCCTGTGCTTTGACTGTTTCTCCGCCAGAGTTAACATTGCTCCTGAGTACTGTTTCTTACGCCTTTAAAACCACAAGCTCTGAGATTGCTGTGTGTTTGTGCAACTGATTTCTACCTTTCTACATCAGATGCATTCTCACTTATAAAATGTATTTTCACTTATAAGATATATTCCAGCAAAACTTTGTGTGATCCAGGAATTCCCGGTCCACTTCTAAACAGTTCTTCTGGGTATGAGAGATCTCTCAAGATCGTAGGGACAGTTGGTGATGGGTTGTGGCCTAATCACTGATGGTTTGGCTTTCTTGGATGGGTTTTTTGATTTTATTTCTTACATTTTTTTCTGTCATGAGTCCCTCACTAGGATGGCCAAATTGTGAGTTGTGGTTTTCTCAAACTGATGTAGTTATTTTCTTCTTTAGATGAATCCTATTACATGGAGCTGTGAGCTGCAAAGCGTTCAATACTAGAAGTGGACTCTGAAGTAGTTGCTGCAATGATTTGAAAAATCAACAAGAACTAGCTAGGATGTGCCGACGATGTGCAAACGTGTAGCTGTTCATGTCGAAGGGGGAGGAATAAAAAAGCGGTTTCCAATCCAACTTCCTGTTATCTGCCAGTTTTATCTTTTCCTGAAGCTTTTACCCTTTAAACTGAAATCACAAAGTCCAGATTATGTGAAGAAGATATTTTGGCTTTCTTGGTTTGGGGATAAGAGGGACTGGGAGGTGGGAGGCAGGTTCTCAGGAAAATCCTGCTATATTTTTGAGCTTGGCTAGTGGAAGTAGAAATTATTCTAACAGTAAGAGTATTTGGTCATTTGGGTAGGATTTTTTTTTTTTTTTTCAAACTCACTTCCAGCGGTTTATATAGCACATTATAAGTATAATGCAATCAGTAAGTAGTTGTATTGGAAATTTTGTCATCCTTGCCGTGAGCTGTCTGAATAATCACAGAGGAGATGTATAATGGGTGATGAGGTGAAAATGCAAAAGCATTAGGGTGTGTGGGGAGCGTGTCGAGGATCACTGTGTAGCAGCACATCTAGGAAAATGCGACGGCTATATCTCAGTAAAGGAAGCAGTGAGTGGGAAGGGTGACCCCAGGGTCTTCCACGACGCATGGATGAGGAGAGTCTTTGTGGGCTTTGCCTGTGGGCAGCTCTGCTCATCCCTGACCACATGGGAGCAGGATGCGGGGTGTGTGTGTGGCTGTGCTGCTGTGCCTTGTCACCCTGTATTGTCACCTGCATTTGGGCAAGCATGGGGGGCAAACAGACTCCTCCTGCCTGATGCGTTTACTCAGGGAGGTGAGGTTGCAAGTTCACATGTGAATTTAGGTTGAGCATTTCCAGCCTTTCTAGTGCTTAGCTGTGTAATCTTCCTAACATTCTGTTAAATTAGCTTTTCATCCATTATGCGTCGGCATTCAGCTCAGGACACTAACAATAAAATCATGCTTTTTAACAGTGGTTTTCTCTATAAAGATGTGATGTCTCTGGAAGCTTGCTGAGCTGAACAAACCGCTATAAAAGCTACGTTAACATTTTGTTAAAATGCATGTGGAAGCACCTGAACAAGTTGCTGTGGATGCTGGAGATGCTCCTGGGGCATTGGTGTGGTACCCTGCAGAGGATCCCTGCCCATAAGGAGCTGTAGGTGTACCTGTCAGTAGGACTGACAAGAATGTCCAAAGGCGTGGCTGGAAATTACTTACAGAAACATGTGCTGGCTTAATACAATGACATGTTTGGAAAAAAAAAGACAATGTGCAGGGGAATTTTTGTCCCCTACTAAAAATGAGAGGAATTCCATCAACTTCTCTGATTTACAAGTAAATAAGTTGGTTTTGGTTTGGTTTTCTTTTTTCTGTTTTTTTAGATGATGGAAACTGAGAAGTGTCAAGATCCAGCTTGTGCAGAAGTGTCCAAAGGAAACAACCAGAGTCCAACCCTGGGAAGTGGCATACTGAAGTACAGAAGTCGGTCCCAAGGTAAAGCCAGGTTGATAAAAGATAGCAATAGTAAGGTCTTTATGTTGTGTATTTATTTTAGCTCTCTAAAATGAGATAGGTTTTCTTTCCTTTGGAGATCGTAATAGTTAATTTGGAAGGAAAATCATAGCTGCAGAATGTTTGCATTCAGCCTCGTGAGTTGATTCTTTGTATGGACAGACAGACGATGCAAAATTTGGAACTTCTTTCTTTTTTTTTTTTCTTTCTCTTCTCACTCTTTTCTAACATTTATATTCTCTGTATATTTCAGTGTGCTCTAATACTGAGATCAGGGACATGTTTCAACATGTCATCGCCAGAATACCCATTACAGTGAATAGACCTCAAATTTTCTGTTGCTTTATCCCCAAGTTTTAACAGTCATCTGTGTGCAGAGCTCAATCGCGTTCTCATCCCTAACACTCTCCAAGTCTGCCTTCCTCCTGTGTTCACCTTAATTTCTATTTACTGTGATATTTTTAGCATCCTCCAGGGAGCTCCCCTGCCTGTAGCCCCAGTGGTCGTGTGTTGGTGGTCACGGGGAATCCAGCCCCAGTTCCTCTGAGAAGCATCCCTCAGCCTGGTCCCAAGCCTGGGCTGCAGCGTGGCAAGGGAAGCTGCATTCAGGGATGGACAGATAACACAGAAATGCGGCTGTTCTCCTAGAAGAAAAGTGATGGAAAGGATTAGCTGTAGGTGCCAGGAGGGTTTGGGAGTGAAAGGAGTGCAAGGATGCTGGGTCCTGCCTGGGTAGCTCTCCTGGTTGTGTGCAGCTGTGGCACCCTGCATGCCCAGGGAAGGGAAGCTTTAAACCAGACACAGTTTCAAATACCAAAGCAGGGAACGGATTTAAATTGCAGTCTGAGCAGCCGGTACAAATTCTGCCTATGGGTGCAGTGGCAGAATTACTTAAATGACAAGTGGGTTAAAAGTGGCTGTCCCAGGTCTGTGCTCCATCCCTCCTGGTGCAGGCAGCAATGCTTGTACAGCCTCCGAGCCGAGAGGAGGTGGCAGAAAACAGTTTTGGGGCTCCCCTGGAAAATTTGCAGCAGGTGTCCCTCAGCCCATGGCTTGTGAATCTCGTCCCCAGGGTAAGGACGGAGACTGAAAGGGAAAGCGGAACTGCGCCTTTATGTAGCAGCTCCAACTTTACGTTGGTTTAAAGTCATCTTAAGAACACATCATGAAATCCAGCTTGTGCGAATTTGGCTTTGTGTCTTGGGTTTTCTTCTGTAAAAAAGGGGTTAATGGCCCCTCCCTGCATGGTGGGGAAATAGCAAGGATAAATGTGTGGGAACTGCTGTGACTGGGGGTCCTGTGGGGACCTTGGAGAAAATGAGAATTGGTGCAAGGAGCAGGGTATGCTGCAGCTAATTACAGGATGTCCTTCAAGACAAATAATTCTGTTTGTTACGTGAACTCTGCACTCTTCTCCTTTTCAAGACAACTAGGATCATTGCCAGAAGGAAAGAAAATAGCGTTTATTTGGCACATTTTTCCTTTTCCATTCCAGAAAAATTTCCCTCAAAGTGACATGACACCTCCAGAAATGAATACTGCTACAGTGTCAGGTCTTTTAATTTTAAATAAATGAAGCTTGAGAGCTTAGTGCACTGGCAAGTTCCATTGGGTGAGAACAGCTGAATTTCTTTTCTGTCCCTGAGCTACCGGATCAATTATCTGGTATTTTTGCTACCATGCGTAACAGCGCTGAGGAGTTCCGCCTCACCGAAAGGTTGTGGAAAACCTGTGACAGCAGGATAAGTTTTCTGTTGAGGATGATCAAAACTAGCTTCTAACTGCCCTGTTGGGAACTGCGTTGTTTTAAGGCACTGTTTAAGTTGGGATTTGCAGGAGACGATCATTGCATGCTGGCAAGAGGATAAAGCAGCTCTGACGTGTTTGTGAGACGTATTTCTGTGGTTTTCCCTAGGTGCCGGATCCCGCTTGGAGTCCGTGGGAGAAGATGATGAGCTGACAGTGGAAAATGGGGAATCGAATTATGAAATAGCGGTGAAATATTCCCGGGGTGGAAGAAAACACTCTCTGCCCCAGCAGCTGGAGTCAGCAGGAGCCAGGCAGGTGGGTGGAAAGGTAGGGCCGACTCTGAGCACCTCGCTGTGCTCGGTCCTTTGGGATCTGTCTGGAGCTTATGGAGACGAGGGCAGTGAAACGAGGCCATGCAGGTACATCACTGGGACTGAAACCAGGCCCGGACACCAAAATGGGATGCATTGGCCACCTATGGAGAACGTCCTTACCCTGAGGATGGTGAGGGAGGACTACTGCTTGCTGTGGCCAGGAGGTCCTAAGGCTGATCTTACGAGTTGCATTTCTAGAGATCTGAGGGCTAAACAAAAATCCTACTTCTATTTATTTTAATGATTTGATGATGTAGTCTTCCCCACCCCCACACCTTTTTTTTTTTTTTTAAAGCAGATAAGGACTTCAGTATATCATGAGGCTACCCTTAATCTTTTTAATTTGTGACTGGTACATTACAAAATGATCCTACTGTGCGAAATGAACATTACCGTGGCACGATTCACTTTGACTGTAATGAGCTGGGATTTTAGGATTTCATCCCTTGAACATTTTTATGAATATATCTGTAAGATACCCCCCCCCACTTCCTTGACACACAATTTTCCCGGCATGACATCCCAGTGCCTGTGCCAGACAATCAGAGTGACTTCCCTTGTTTGCTGATGTTTGTTAGGACTACCATATCGTGAAGAAATCCACCCGTTCCTTCAGTGCCGCCCAAGTGGAATCTCCATGGAGACTGACCCAGCCGTCCATCATTTCCAACATTGTTCTGATGAAAGGGCAAGGCAAGGTGAGGATTTCTGCATGTGGCTGGTTTCTCACAGGTAGCAAGAGCTGGTATTTAAGGGGTATGTCCAGTGTCCCAGGAGTTCCAGCAGCTCTCAGGTAGCCAATAATAATAACAGTAATGATAAACAAATCCCATTTTTAAATGTAAATGCCAAAGTTACACCTGCAAAATATGGAGGAAGCGATGTTTGTGCCACACACTTGACATGGGGTGGCTTTCATTCTGATTTGGTGCATCTGGTCATTACTGAGATATCAAATATTAATAATGGATCTATAAATATGTATGTTTATGCAAAGATGGAGCAGCTACAGAAGAGTACCTGTTTGCATGCATATTTATGGACAAGCATATTTTATCTCTGTGGAATCTGGATACATTAAAAAAAAATCACTGCAAATTAAGTGTTAAACCCAAAGACAGGCTCCTGGTTGACTGCTTGTCTGAGAGCACTGAATTCTCTGGGTCAAAGAGTCCTCTTTTCTCCCCCCTTCCACTAATGTGTTTGCACATTTGCTAGATACCAGCTGGCTGAATGCTAAGGGAAGATAGACAAGCATTAACCTAGGTGTATATTGTTTTCCCTAATCCAATCCACACTAGTATTCAAGCTGTCATTTAAATATGCTAAAAATATGCATGTCTTTTTCTGAAATACTCTTTAAATTCATCAGATGGATGTGTTTTGGACTTAAAAGACTTGTTTTGACTTTCAAGCTCAAATACAAAACAAATTCCTTGTTGTGCTTTAAGTTTAGCAAAGAAAAATAGTGACTTCTCTGGGTAGATTGACTCAAAGTTGCTATAACTCGCCTTGTTTTGGGAGCTTCAGGTCTTTTGTGACATTTCCAAGCTAATATTTCTTCATTTTTCACATATCTTTTTCCTTGAGCCCGTTTTTCTCATCAGAATTAGGTTGTTTCTCCCTGTGGGATGACCCACCCTCTCCTGCCTTTCTGCAGTTAGCTGCAAGACGTTAGGAAGCCGATGGGAGCATACCAACTCTAGGGATCGTGAACCGCCTGGAACAGCTGCCGTTTTGGGTACCTTTCACCCACTTTTTGGGCAGTCATCTCTCCTAGGGGTTACACTGCATCCAGTTTGTACAGTAGTGTTGGCTTTATTGTCTCCGTGCGAACCTGGGACTTGAGGAGTGTTCCCACAGAGTGGCTGTGTTGGTGGCTGGGAGCCAAGCCCAACTTGAGACTTCATCTCTCGTTAGATCTTCAAGGGGTGGTTTTCTGCGATGGGGTGGCAGCGTTTCTTGGGATAGGTGGGCTAATGTGGGAACCGCTGCAGCCCTGTTTCTCCTAACCCACCCCACTAAGTCGTGAGGAGAACGTCTGTGTCCGTATAGGGGAGTGCCAGGATTCTCCTGCTTTCTGTAGGTTGCTTTGTAGTTGATAATTACCCAGTAAACAGTTGAGTTAGTGTTGCACAGGGGAGCTAGGATGCTTCCTTTGTAGAAATGAGTAACATCTTATCAAATTACTAGAAGCTCATAACAGCGGTAGTGAACTTCATATTGACGGAGTAAAACAAAGCAGCTGGTGGTTGTATTGGGTTGTAAACACAGTGTTGGTGCCTGCCCTGGCAGCATCCCTCAGCTGGAGAGCACTGCCCAAGGCACTAATAACAACTGTGGCCTCAGATCACTGAAGCACAACAGTTTCCACTTCCCTTGTCCACCTGGTCAGTGACTTTATTCTGTAAAACACACGTACAGTGGTGACAAGAGGACACATACCGCGGGGATGTATCAAGGAAGTGATTTGGGTGGGAAATAACCCCGCAGAAGGGTGAGAGGTTCATTCTGCTGCGCTCCTCTGATCCCTGATCAGCTTCTCAAGATGGTCCCGGAGCCAGCCAGGGCAGTACAGGGGCAAGAGCTAACAGATGGAGCCCCGGGGAATGTATTATCTAGATTTATTTAAATACAACATGGTACATGTCTCCAGAATAATTAAAAATGTACATGTGCATGGCAGCACGGCTCCCCCCTCTTCCAGCTCCCTTCCAGCTACATTCCTGACATTACAGCACTGACCTTATGTCATGTTCTTAAGCTTTTCTGTTTTCCTGAGGAAATGCAGGATCTGTGACAGCAGGGAAAACTACAGTTAATCCTGGATATAGGTCTCAGGGGTGGGAGTCTAGTGTCTGTCAGTATAAGAGCAATGTGTTACAGGTTTTTTTAAATAGGAATAGGGTAACATAAAGCCAGTATTTAAAGATTGAATAAATTTAGAAACAGCACTTTTGCCTTTTAGCTGATAGGTTTTTTGGGCTGATAATTGTGTAGGTTTTAGATTAAAAGTGAATGCAAGCGGAGGGAAGGATGGCAGTGCCATTCAGCAGCAGCACCTATGAGGTTTTAATCTTTTCTTTGTCTTGTATGTTATCGGCAGTCTGTCTCACACAGGTGGTAATAGGGTAAGGTGCCAGCTGTGCGTCTTCTCCCTTTTCTGTAGGGTCTTGGATTCAGCATTGTGGGAGGTCAGGATTCTGCTCGCGGACGCATGGGGATTTTTGTGAAGACTATATTCCCAAATGGAGCAGCGGCTGCTGATGGAAGGCTTAAAGAAGGTATGGTAGGGAGAATCCAACTGCATATAAAGGGCCACAGTGGAATATTATTTCAGTCCAGCATAAAAATTCAAGTACAGCTTTATTTAGGCACCTGGCCATCAGCAAGAGGCTGTGGAGGTTGTCACACACCCTATTTGTCCATCCTGGAGAAGATCATTCATAGCAGTTAACTTGATTATATTGCATATTGAGAAGGGGAAACCGTAGCGTTATGGGTTTTTTTCCCCCCCTTCCTCTTCAGTGAAATTTATTTGCTGGAGCCATAAACTGTACTTCTTCAGTCGGAGAGTGTCATTGATGGCAGTGAAATGTATCTGTCCAACCAACGTGTGGCTTAAAGGTGCTGGTCGGGGAAGGGGTTATACAGAGGGACATGCTTGGGAGAGGCTGTTTTGGACCCTTGTGCTCTCTTGAGCCTCCTGGTGTGATTTTGATATGACAGGAAGTCATAAACAGAAAAAGGAAAAAAGGACAGGATTGACAGATCACCCAACTTGTTGGAGAAGTAGATATATCCTGATTTAATTACTGCTTTTCCAGTCTTGGTCTCTGAGCTGGATATATAGACTGCTCTGTGTGTGTTTGCACCCCGGTCCAAGTGTTCCCAAGCCAGCCAGACTCTTGGCACTGTGGGAAGTACAGGGTGACCGTGAGCTTAGAGCGGTGGTTTACAACTCCTCTGCAGGGGTTGTGTTACTTCTGTTCCACAGAAGGCTGCTCCTGTGTTACTTCCCTCTCAAGCTGCTCCTGTGTTATTTCTCTCCTCATATCATCATTCCCCTCTTTACATCTCATCACACTCGTTGTGTTTGAGGCCGCTTTTGGTGCCAACTCTCACACTTGCTGTCAGAGGGAAGCTCGCGTCCCTGCAGCATAGGTTGTGCACTCGCCACGGGAAGCCAGTAAGTAGCAGCTGTCCCATAAACCCAGCAAGTCTTTGCAGGCTATCCAGAGCTCGCTTTCTTTTTTTTTTTAACTTTACTGGGTCTAGGAAGGGAGAGGAGGGGTAGACTTGGCTGATGACATCGCGCCATCTGATTTTGCACAGACACAAGTAAGATTGCAGAAAGTGAATCTGGATCGTGCTCACCTTTCTCTTTCTAAAAACGAAGGTAGATCAACACGTCTGGGTGTAAGTAGTAAGACCCAGAGCCTGGAAGCAGGTAGAAATGTGATGGGACGTGTTCGTTGGGGTGAGAAGGGCACTTGCCATCGCAGCGTGTGGCCTACTCTCTTCTCCGTCCGTGTGTGTTTAGTAAGAGGACACGTTTGCTTTCTGCATGTGGATGCAAGGTTAGTTTTCTCTGAACAGGCTTTGGAGTGATGTGCTGTAGTCTTTCACTTAGATTCTCATTTCTGCTGTTTATACTCACAACAGAAATGGATTTTTATAGTCCCTTCGGATTTCATGTTATGGGCATCTATTTTCAGACTTTAGTTAAAATCTGAGTGTTTTCAGCTTGTTAGTATGAGAATGCCAAGTTAAGGATCTCAGCTGAAGAACCGTCTTTACTCTGCTAATTCATCACTATTAACATGTAAAGGGACTAGGACAAGTGAAAATAAACTGAGAACAGTAAAAGGCTTTATATGGGGCAGTTAATTGGTATCATCATAGTAGCGGGTTGCCTCACATCCGGGAAAGGGGTTTTTGCATATAGCCTGCATGTTGCTGACTTCATTTTTTGTATCTGATTACCAGGGGATGAAATCCTAGAAGTTAATGGAGAGTCTCTACAAGGGCTGACCCATCAGGAGGCCATTCAGAGGTTTAAGGTAACACAGATGTACTACAGGAGAGATTCATGCTTCGCTTCGTTCAGTGCCCCTTAGCACCCTGGGCTTTATGTTCTTTCACTGCCACAAATGGCTGCACGCAGGTTTATGGGGAGATGCTGGCCTATCATGCCGCCTTACGGCTGTTCTCTGTTGTCTCGCCAGCAACTCAAGAAAGGAGTGGTGACCCTGACGGTGCGCACGCGGCTGCGCAGCCCGAGCCTCACGCCCTGCGTGACTCCCACCTTGCTGAGCCGCTCCAGCTCCCCCAGCTCCAGCGCCGGCGGTGGCACGCCGGTCCCTGGCCCCGATGAGGTGGGCGGTTCCTCCTCCAGCCGCAAAGGACCCGGCCCGAAGGACAGGATCGTTATGGACGTGACACTCAATAAAGGTGAGGGTCCATTGAAAAGGGCTTGGAGAACAAATCCCTGCGTCTTAGGGGAGTTTTTGGGAATAGGCTAGAGGCCCTAATATCCAGGATACCTACCCACATCCATCTGATCTTGAACCACAGGATGGGCGGTTCCTCCTCCAGCCGCAAAGGACCCGGCCCGAAGGACAGGATCGTTATGGACGTGACACTCAATAAAGGTGAGGGTCCATTGAAAAGGGCTTGGAGAACAAATCCCTGCGTCTTAGGGGAGTTTTTGGGAATAGGCTAGAGGCCCTAATATCCAGGATACCTACCCACATCCATCTGATCTTGAACCACAGGATGGGGGAAAACATCCTCTAATGCAAAAACCTTTGGAAAGTTCCCTCTTCCAGATTTTGCTGCTCTAGTGTCAGGACACTTTTACAGGTAGCAGTCAGCGTCCATGCTGCTGAAAGAGGGAGGCTGTGACATAACAGGCAAAATGTGGATCTGGCTGTCGGCAGCCCAAATGTCCGTGCCCATATACGGGGCAGCTCTGGGGAAGGCAAAGCCACGCAGAGTGCTCAGAATTGCCCAAATGAGCTGTTTGAACTCCTGCCTGAGGGTTGCTGTCATTATCAGTAATTGCACGAGATAAACTTGGAGCATATGCTCTGTGTGGTGGGACAAATACATCGATTTTAAAGACTTAAAATATGCTGATTTTAAAGGTTGGATTAAAAATTCGTAGGGAGAAGGCAAGATGTCCAGCAATTCCTATTTTAGGAATGCTGTTATCTGAAGAAAAGCAAAGGTGAAAGTGGACAGAGGCAATCACTGAACCAGAGATAATGCCTCACCTTTCTTTGTGTCTCTTTGCTGAGGAATACCATGGAGAAATTTAACAAAAGAGGGCAGTACAGTTGGCAGCATCTCTGTGCTCACGTTTCGTGCAGTAATTTTCAGTGACATCTTTATTGGATCGCTGCCCCCACTCCTTTGTGCCTTGGACCAGATCAGACCTTGTGCAACATTTCCAGGCGGTTCCCACGGCACACAGAAAGTTTGCTGGGAGTGATGGATCTCTGAAAACAGTCGGGATCAGATATTTTCAGTCCTGATTTCCACTGTTGGTCTTGGCTTCCTGACTGACTGCACCTATGGCCAGCCCTGAAACAATACATGAGTCTTGGTCTCTGATGGGATGTGGGAACACAAACACTTGTGTGTCCTGTGTGATTACAATCTGCTACTTTTCTTTGTATTTTTTGTTTTTCACAGAGCCAGGGGTTGGGCTCGGCATTGGTGCCTGTTGTCTCACGCTGGAAAACAGTTCTCCAGGGATATACATTCACAGCCTGGCCCCGGGATCAGTGGCTAAAATGGATGGCAGATTAAGGTTAGTTAAAGCCGAAGTATGCTGGAGTGGTTTTACAATAAAATGGATTGAGACTGTGTTTTCACCAATTGGTTGGTGTAACGGGGCGGGGATTTAGACTTGAGTTCACCAAAAAGAAAACATTTAAATAAAGACATTCCAAAGTGGCATTAAATATCCAGGAAACATTATTCTGTGTGCTGGAAGCAGCATGATCATTAAGGTTTGGGTTTTGTGTTTTTTGTTGGTTTTTTTTTTTTTAAATTCTCTATACAGAAAGCTGAACCTAATAGCACCCTTTGAGAAAGGGGAGCAGCAAGAAGTGCAGCCTCATGTCTTTTTATCAGAGCTGCAGCCAAAGACCCCACATCAGGAAGAAATTTGCAGAGCTCTTGTTAAAAGCTCAGTCACCTGAAACTCTTAAAAAAAGGGCTGAGGGAGGTGTTCTTGCAGCTGGCTGTGCCTGTGGCTTCAGCAGTGCCGTTCTGCCCTTACTGTCTGCCTGGCAGGATTGCTGCAGGCTGTCCTGCCCGTCTCATTTACCCTGTCGAGGAGTGTGGATGTCTTTAAGAGAGAGAAACGATCGTTCTTGGGGTTCCCTTGTGCCTTATGCTGGATTAAGCGACAGAAAGTTATTTGCTGTTCCTCTCCCAGAGGCTTCGTTTTTTAAAACCATTGGAGGAAATCTTCCACCTTTCTGCAT